GCCCGGCTCAGCAGCCTCCGTGCCGCAGGCTCCGGGGAGCTGCGTCTGGTGGACGGCGGCGATCGCTGTGCTGGGCGAGTGGAGGTGAAGCACGATGGTGAGTGGGGATCCGTGTGCGTTTTCTCCAATTTGAACCGGAACGCCCATTGGGCCACCTTGGTGTGCCGGCAGCTGGGCTGTGGCCGGGTGGCCAGGTCGTCGCCGCGCATCCGGTTCAGGCAGGGCACCGGGCGGATCTGGCTGCAGTTCTTCTGTCGCGGCAGCGAAAATGCGCTGGAGGAGTGTCCGCACTTCGGATGGGGAGAACACTTCTGTGGCCAGGAGAGAGATGTATGGGTGACCTGCACAGGTGAGGGGACACGCTCGCCCTGCTGGGACAAGCCATTTGTGCTGGAGCATCCCGGGCAGGGCTGAGCCGTGCCCCTGGCCTGGTGCAGATGCCGTGGAGCTGAGACTGGCGGGCGGCGACAGTCCGTGTGCCGGGAGGGTGGAGGTGAAGCTGCAGGGACAGTGGGGCTCGGTGGGGGACGAGAGGTGGGACATGGATGACGCCGAGGTGGTTTGCCAGCATCTGGGCTGCGGCTCGGCTGCCGGTGCCTACTCCGCCCGCGAGCGCTTCGGTGTCGGCGACGGTCCAGTCAGTCTGCTCTACGTGAACTGCAATGGGGACGAGACCATTCTCTGGGACTGCTACATCACTGGCTGGGGACCCTTCACTAACTTCCATGACTTGGACACTGCCGTTGTGTGTCAAGGTAGGAGCTGGGCTTGGAGGGGATGTGGCATTTCATGCACTTCATCCCTTGACACTGAGCCTGCGCTGCTCCTGCAGGATTTTCCCGGCTGGTCGGAGGTGATGGAGTCTGTGCCGGGCAGCTGGAGGTGCAAGAGGGCCGAGCCTGGGTTGGCGTGTGTGAGGATCAGGTGGACATGAAGGCGGCGCAGGTGGTGTGCAGGGAGCTGGGCTGCGGTGAGGTGCTCGCCATGGGCGGCAGTGGCCGATTTGGGGCGGCATTGGGTTGGTTCTGGGACGGGTGCTTCCAGTGCAATGGCAGCGAGCCCCTGCTCAGTGCCTGTGCCCGGCGTCCGGCCCAGAGCCAGGGCTGCAGCGGCCGTGCCAGCATCATCTGCTCCCGTAAGTGCCGGGGACAGTGGGGGCTGTTGGGCTCCATGCAGCATCCACGGCCTCACCGCCCTTCCTGCCACAGCCTACACGGGCTTCCGCCTGGAGAACAGCAGCTCGAGATGCTCCGGGCGAGTGGAGGTGGCAGTGAGGGGGACGTGGGGGTCCGTGTGCGCCGCCGAGTGGGACCTGCCCGATGCGCACGTGCTGTGCCGCCACCTGGGCTGCGGCCGCGCCCTGGCCGTGCTCCCGG